TTGTGGGGGTTAAAAAAGGGTCTAAATTTCAAGTTTCCACCGTTTACCATTTTCCAGTTATGAATTTTTAAAAATTTGATGACAGATTCACAGACATCCAGACACACAGACACACAGACATCCAGACAACAGAAAAAATGAAAGTTGTTCAGAATTCGATTCTGAGTCGATCCATATATTTAAAGGCATATCTAACTGCCCGGGAAGTCGCATTTCCAAAAATTCCTCCGCTCCTATAAGTCTTGGAGTCTTTGACTCCAACGACTAACTAGCTCAGCGATATAAGGTTCATTCCAACCAGCAGTAATATTACCGTAATATTATCGTCCGTAACAGCGTTAATGCGACTGCGCGAACAAAAATAGTAAAATTATTTTGAATAATGTATAAACTGGTTGGAACCTTTTTTGAACTGGTAGTACTCACAATCAGAAGAAAAAGAATATAACCCAAAACCCACAATTGTATTGTGCTAAAAGCTAAGTAAAGCGCATATAGGTATATCTATTTCAATAAAGTAATAAATATGGCAGGTTTTTTAAATAATTACTTGTATGATTCTTCGGATGACAAGGAATTTAGATTTTATTGGGGACATTGCTACTAGAAATAAATATAACCCAGGTTTGTTGAGTTTATAAATATATATAAAAGTATATTTTAATAACATCACACATTGATAATAAATTCTTTCATTCCTGCTCACAAATGACAAAAATTAGATATACTTATTAACATTAAAAATTAATAAAATCACCTTGTATAGCAGTCATTTTTAAATAATATGTCCACTTTAACAGAAAACAAACTTACAATATTACAAACGTTAATAAATAAACAAAAAGATGAGGTTATGTGCCCCTTCTACGCATGCGTCTAATTTTATTATCAACAGTTCTTGCTCTCGAGCAAGAATCGTTTGAACCGTAATTTAACTGTTCGTAACTCTGGTTGGAACGACGAACTGACAGTAATTGCCAGTTCTAAACTAGTAATTTTAGTTGGTTGGAACGACATTTTACAAACGCGCATGTGTATCAGTAATATTACTGGAAATTACTGCTGGTTGGAATGAACCTATAGTTTTATGGTCTGGTATTTGTGACGTCATAGTTAGGATTTTTGAACGCACTCTAAACGCCAAAATGCCTTAACTATTAACCAAGGTTAAGTTTAATAACCATAGTATTTCATGGTATTTACGCGAAAAAAACGACTATAAGGATTTTACAAAATCCTTGGTTTTGGTTATATAAAGGATTTCCATCCCTCACAGTGTTATAAAATATTTAATTATTATTTTGGTGGCTTATGCCAGTTTGACTTGGTATTTTTAGTATTTAAAAATGGTACTTCTGCTAAAGAATTTAATTAAATACTTTCCCAAGTAACACCTCGTGAAGAAATCGTTGCAAAATTTGTTACGATTTCTACTTGTCGTGAGCTCAACGTGATCCCGAAAATTTATAGATTCTGTGACTGATACAGTGGCCAAACCGCACTAATTTTAACCCCCGAAATCTTCACGAAGGCGTGCCTACAAGTCGTGACAATTTCTTTATGTTTTTTTATCACAATAATGTGACGAATTTGACACTAAATCCGTGGTAGAATCTGCTTTGCAGGGTTGTGACGAATTAGTGACGAAGGCGTGCCTACAAGTCGTGACAATTTCTTTATGTTTTTTATCACAATAATGTGACGAATTTGACACTAAATCCGTGGTAGAATCTGCTTTGCAGGGTTGTGACGAATTATTGACGATTATTATTTACTGTAAATGCGTACTTATATTAGATTTAATTATTGTCCATGGTCGCTCAATAATGAAAGCTAATTTTTTTTACAGAAATTTAGCTTTTATTATTGACCGACCATGGTCAATAATTAAATCTAATATAAGTACGCATTTACAGTAAATAATCATAACCAAATTACATAAATTAATTTCCTTTGCTAAATAAGTAAGGCACATTTATTAATTAATTATTAATTATTTATTAATAAAAAAAGTACATTTAATTACATATGTAGATGTACTAAAGTTCAAAGACCCATTTTTGTGGGTATACAAAAATATTCTATGTATAGAATAATCACCACAGACACAAAAACTAAACTATACTAAAAAAAATATAACAAAATAAATATTTCTTTGGCTATTTATTGCCACATCACATAGGTATTTAAATTAAACAGAGAATTTTGATAAAATACAAATTAAAATATTTTCTTTAGAATAACCACCAGACACAAAAACTAAACTATACTAAAAAATTTATAACAAAATAAATACTTCTTTGGCTATTTATTGCCACATCACATAGGTATTTAAATTAAACAGAGAATTTTGATAAAATACAAATTAAAATATTTTCTTTAGAATAACTACCAGACACAAAAACTAAACTATACTAAAAAATTTATAACAAAATAAATATTTCTTTGGCTATTTATTGCCACATCACATAGGTATTTAAATTAAACAGAGAATTTTGATAAAATACAAATTAAAATATTTTCTTTAGAATAACCACCAGACACAAAAACTAAACTATACTAAAAAATTTATAACAAAATAAATATTTCTTTGGCTATTTATTGCCACATCACATAGGTATTTAAATTAAACAGAGAATTTTGATAAAATACAAATTAAAATATTTTCTTTAGAATAACCACCAGACACAAAAACTAAACTATACTAAAAAATTTATAACAAAATAAATACTTCTTTGGCTATTTATTGCCACATCACATAGGTATTTAAATTAAACAGAGAATTTTGATAAAATACAAATTAAAATATTTTCTTTAGAATAACCACCAGCCCTGCTTAAAATACCCCATAGAGACCCTGTTCAAACCGATAGATATTTGTATCGGGATGTATGGTGTTTCTATAGGGTGTATCGGTTTGTATAGGACCCGTAGTTGAGATTTATGGTTGTTCTATAGGGATATCCACCATTGATTTATTTGCTATCGGTTTCAATGGGGAAAATACACATAAATGTAGAAATTAGTTTTTTCCCTGTAGGACCCTATAGGTTTTAATAAAATTTTGTCAAATGTTTTATGGTTGCTCTATAGGGATATCCCTATATATCCTTCATTGAGTTATTTTCTATCGGTCTCAATAGGGAAAATGTAAAAGTTATGGTGTGCCTATAGGTAATTTCCTATACATTTTCTATCCGGAAAAACCCATGGACAAATGCACATATAGAATCCGGTAGCGCCCGATAGATTATTTTGTATAGGTCTCTATGGGGTATTTTAAGCAGGGAGACACAAAAACTAAACTATACTAAAAAATTTATAACAAAATAAATATTTCTTTGGCTATTTATTGCCACATCACATAGGTATTTAAATTAAACAGAGAATTTTGATAGAATACAAATTAAAATATTTTCTTTAGAATAACCACCAGACACAAAAACTAAACTATACTAAAAACTCACCTTATCTATAAACCAATGAACCAATGAATAAGAACAAATGATATCTATAAACCAATGAATAAGAACAAATGATAACAATAAAAACAACAAAAACGCAGCATGTTTTTGGGGCAGCGTCTCTACAAAACAACGACAATGAAAATGGCTGACCAGAGAATCTGACAGAGATAAAGAAGGTTATAGAACGCCCTCTCTCGAGAGATCTCGTTCCTAAAAACACGAAAACGTCACGAATAAAGTGCACTGCAAACGTCACAAATTTTCTATGAAGTATCTATTTAAAAAGTTACTTTATAACGAAAAATCTTCACGGTTCCGTCACGAATAAAGTGCACTGCAAACGTCACAAATTTTCTATGAAGTATCTATTTAAAAAGTTACTTTATAACGAAAAATCTTCACGGTTCCGTCACGAATAAAGTGCACTGCAAACGTCACAAATTTTCTATGAAGTATTCATTTAAAAAGTTACTTTATAACGAAAAATCTTCACGGTTCCGACACGAATAAAGTGCACTGCAAACGTCACAAATTTTCTATGAAGTATCTATTTAAAAAGTTACTTTATAACGAAAAATCTTCACGGTTCCGTCAAAAATTTAGAAGTGACGCAGGCGTCACCTTCATTTTGATAACGTATTTATATAAAAATGTACTTTATAAAGAACGAGCGTGACGATTTCGTGAAATCTAGTAGAATGCCGTCACGTCGTGTTACTTGGGTTGACACTGTCAAATTGACAATAATATTTATTATTGATAATTTACTTGTCAATTATAAATAAAAATATAATTATGCCAAAAATAATAGCAACGAATTCGAATGTAAAAGCCCTTTTGAAGGCAAAACTTCATTTTGATGAAATTATGCCAAATGCCACAATGGAAGAAAAAGTACATCGCCTTATGGACATTTTTGGAGTAAAAAAGTTACGAATTTGGTTTTATAAATATTACATTAGACATTATTTTCACATTTTTCACCATTGGACAACATGTACGTTCACAAAAAATTATAATTTCTTTTATATAAATTCTTTTCAAAGCGAAGATTATTATCCGCTAGGAATTCTTTCTCTTCTGGGCCGTAAAGCAACCTATATTTAACTACTTTTTTTATATGATTTTACTCATCCAAGCACCACCAAAGCCAAATTAATTGCATTTTTAACTTCGTATTTCGACAACTCAATTTGACAACTGCACAATGTAACCTACAATAATTTATACATAACCACAATTAGATTTATAACTAGCTAGTTTATTTTAATCAATGCGACCAACTTGACAACTGTATTTACCAACCAAAACCCTAAATTTGCAACGTTGCCGCAGTCCAGATAAAAAAAATGAACTTTAGTAAAGTTTAGTGGAGGTACTGCGAACAAACGTAACAATTTTTATTTAAATATTTAAATTTTTTTAGAGTCACTTTATACATAAAGAAGAAAGTTTTACTATATTTTTACTATAATCTTTAAACAAATTTTTAAAAAAAATCTGGATGCTTTTCAGTGGAAAGTTGTTGGAGTGGCAACATTGATTGATTATTGCAATGTTTTTGAAGCAAAATTACGTCAAGTGCAATGTCAAATTACAGTTTATTTATTAACAAAAGTTGAATTTAAGGGCTCTTCTTAATGTTGCAAAGATGGGTAAGGAGCGGCAATATAGTTTCCCAACGATATATAAGCTTTTTCGAAGCTGACAGGAAAAAGGAATATTTTGTTAGAAAATTAATTGGGTAAGTTTTGGATTATGCGTGTAATAAAAAATAATATTACGATTATGTTCAGGTTTTCATGTGAAGAAATGTACAATGTAATTGCAGATGTAAGGAATTACCATGTGTTTGTGCCATTTTGTTCAAAATCAACAATCTTAAGTGAGAACTATAAAGAGCTGAAGGCCAATTTGGAAGTAGGATTTCCACCGATTTATGAAAACTACACATCAAATGTATCACTTAAAAGACCCAGTTTAGTTCAAGCAATATGTAAAGAAGGGAATCTATTTAATTATTTGGAAACAACTTGGAAATTAACTGAAGGGCTTCCAAGCAATCCCAAAACTTGTATAATTGATTTTTATATCAAATTTGAGTTTAAGTCTATGCTACACTCCAAAGTGGCCTCCCTATTTTTTGACAATTTAGTTAACCAAATGGAAAACGCCTTCATTGAAGAGGCCAAAAAGCGGTATGGTTCAGAATCCATTCCAATACATAAATTAAATGGACTAAGCTGAGTTTTTAAATATAAATTATTTATTTTTTAAATATATAAACCTATTTTCATTGGTTGTTTTATTGAAAGGTTTAATAACAAACAAAGTTTGACTACGTTAAAATTATTTACAATTTATTGAATACAATGTTATTACTAAGAATTTAAATAATGATTTCAGTGTTGCCCAACTCTTCATCTGATGGCAAAACAATTAGTTTTGGATTAATGAGGTTTGGATCCACTAACGGCAAACCATTTTTCTCCCTGTGCCTCAACTGGATGAAAGCTTCACGTTGGGACCAATCCTTCAAGCCAAAATCTGGCAAATAAGCTAACACAAAGCCAAACACAGCAATGCTCAAAGTAACTGATACGAAAAATATCGAATGCATTGCATTTCTATCCCCTTCCTTGGTCTTGTGGTTAAATCCATAACTAACCCAGTTCTTATCTACGGCTGTTTTGGCAGCTGTATCGCAAACTTCGGCAGCGACTGTGTCGTTATTCTTTTTCGATGTCGAAACCAATCTTCGGTTAATAACTGGCAATATTTTGCGCAAATACGCACGATTTAAGCTGCATAAACCAGCCATTTTCACGAAAATTCAATGAGTGAGGTTAGGTTATGTTATGTCACTTTTTAGTGACAGTTCTTCACAAAGCCAAGCAATGTTGCCAACCTTAGTACCCTTTTCAGCAGAAATAACATTTAATAAATTATTTTAACTGCTCATGGTTGTTTAATTTTAAGGGTACCTTTAAAATTTGAAACTATTGAAAAACTCTAAATAATGGTATATTTATTATTAACTTTTTAGCGACAAATTTGTGTTTCGTGTGCATTTTAGAATCTAATCTAAAGTTTAGATACGAGTGACAACACTGTTGTTTATGTCATCTACTGGAATATTTCGAACGTCAAATTTTAACCGGGGGTGTCCCAGTCTTCCAATATTTTACAAGAAAAACGCATCAAACATGTCCAACGTTGTAGATTCACTGGTGGAAATGGGTTTTCCCAAAGATAGAGCGTAAGTATTTATCTATTATTTAATAAAACGCACAAACTGACATATAACCTATAACCACTTGAAGTTGAGTCTGTTTATTTTTTGACGTTTTTTGTTGTGGGAGAACCAGGAAAATGTTTTTTCTAGGGAAAAGACAACATTGGAAAAGCTTAAAACTCACTTTCCGTAATACTGTAATTACCCATAGGTTTTAGTAAATTTTGAGGTTAACAATTATATTAATTTTATAAAATTTACTATTTTTTTTTCTTATTTAATATTGCTAAAAACAAATTTTATCAATCCTAGGGAGCCCAGACATTTTTATTATATTTTTCAATAATTGGAAATGTTTTTGACACAGCATTAAATTCTACATAGGTACAAAGTTACAAACTACATCATTTTTGTGATAGGGACATGGTGTATTATCTTTGCATGGCCCTTGTCTACAGTTTTTTAAGCTTTAACATGAAACATTATTTAATGTACAATCATGCCTTAAAATTAAGTCAATATTAATAGATAATTTATTTTAAATGTAAGTTCATATTTGTACCTACCTATAGGTACAGGGTGATCCCCTATAATGTCGCCCCCCTTTAACTTTTTTATTTTAAGTGTCCCAAAAAATTTAAAAGTGTGGTTATGTAGGAACTAAAAAATACTTTTTTTCTATGTATACATAAAGAAAATTGGAAAATTGATCAGTATACAGGGAAAAACAAAAAGTTTATTTTTTTTCAATGGATCACCCTATATTTGAATTTATTTTTCGATTCCTTGTAAAATTCTGAGCATAATTTATATACAAACCATATACCTAAATTCAACCGTTTCTGAAATATTATCATTTGAAATGTCCTCATTCAATGTTTTTTTAAACTGTTAAAAATCAAGAAGCCTCAGTATACCAACATTTTTATTGAAAATAAATTACTATAGTGACATTATGTCAATAAGTGTTGTTAAATAATTAAAAATGGCGTACTCAAACAGAGAAAGACAAACTATTTCAACTTATTATCTTAAAAATAATTTAAATATTTCAGAAACAGTTGAATTTAGGGATATGGTATGATATATGAAATATGCTTAGAATTTTACAAGGAATCGAAAAATAAATTCATATATAGGGTGATCCATTGAAAAAAAATTAACTTTTTGTTTTTCCCTGTATACTGATCAATTTTCGAATTTTCTTTATACGTAGAAAAAAGTATTTTTTAGTTTCTACATAACCACACTTTTATTTTTTTTTGGGACACTTAAAATAAAAAAGTTAAAGGGGGGCGACATTATAGGGGATCACCCTGTACAATATCTAATGGTAATATCCCACAGACCTACCTAGGTCTGTGTAATATCCTAACAATTTAAACTGGGCCACCCTATAGGTATTACTTAAAAAATAAACTAGATTTTATTATAGTAGTAATTACCTACAGTTTGTTTTTTATTTGGAATTTGACGTCAAAAGTTTGGGGGTTTACTTGGCAAATACGATAGTCATAGATGACCAAAGGTAGTATCTGACCTCTGTCAGACGGGTTTAACCTCACTTTTTCGCAATTTGACATCTGCCAAACGGTTTTAACCTCACTTATATCTAATTTGATGCATTTGGTAATAATAATTGTGAACTTTAATCTTGGTCTGTTGCCTAAATTGTCAACATTGCAACAAATTGTCAAAGTTAACAATTGTTATTGCAGGGAATTGGCAATAAAGAGCACCGGCAGCCAGGATTTGCAGGTGGTTATGGAATGGTTGCTGTCAAACGAAGATGTCGTCGATGAATCTGACAGCCAACCTCAGTTAGAGCCTTCGCAGGCTCAGGCTGCTTCAGCCTCGATGGAACAAAACAGTGCCGGTGAAGAGGAGAAATCCGACGAGGCAGCACTTGTTGCTAAATCTATTCGTTGCGATGATTGCGGAAAACTGTTCAAAAACTCGACAGAAGTTGAATTTCATGCTGCCAAATCCGGTAAGAGACGTTAAAAAGAAATAATCAGTTATTTTTAGATATTCGTTAATACATTTATTGAATTAACTGAAAAAAACTTATTTTGCCTCACTTTTAATTTTTAGAGAGTTTTTTAGATTTTATTTTTACTTACTTTTTGTAATTTTAAATAAAGTTAGCTCATTTTTATTGTTGCAATATTTTATCAACATTTAATCAATAAAATGAGTCATGGTTAAAATTATATCATGTATTTGTAACACAATTGGACCCTGTATTCTATTACTTTCTGGAATATAAAATATTTGCATAAATACAATACATACATTTGAAACTAACAAGAACATTTACTATTAAAGCCAGTATACAATTTTTATTACATTTTTAAACATATTTTTATTGATATAAAAACATGATTAACATTTATTGATATAAAAAACATCAGCAATAATTTTTTTGTTTAGGACATGAAAACTTCTCAGAATCTACAGATGAAAAGAGACCGCTGACTGATGAAGAGAAAAAAGAACAGTTGGCCAAAATCGAGGCTAAGCTAAAGCAACGCAGAATGGAGAGAGAGGCCAAAGAAAAAGAGGAAGCAATACTTAAGGAGAAGTATAGGATTAAATCGGGCAAAGAGATGCTTGAAGCCAAGAAAAAGCACGAGGAATTGGAAATGAAGAAGATTTTGGAACTAAGGAAAAGGGAGAAAGAGGAGGAAAGAGCTGCTAGACAGGTAACAAAATTGTTTAGTTTTATTATGGTTTAATTTTCATAAAAACCTAAAGTTTAAAAATATCGTCACATTTGATAATAATTATTTTTTTAAATTGGGTAAAGAATAAAACCACAGGCTGTCAAAGTTGCTCTTAATTTTAATAGAACTCAAATTGACAAGACTTTATATTTTGTAAACTATCTCCAACAATTAGTACCTACTGATGCATGTGAAGATATTTACATTTTCTTAAAGTGGATGAAATTATCTAAAATTTGATTTAATATTTTTTTAAATTGGGTAAAAATAACAAATTTACACACTGTCAAAGTTGGTCTTAATTTTAAGAGAACTCAAATTGACAAAACTTTATATTTTGTGAATTATCTTTAAAAATTAGTACTGAAGTATATTATGATTTTTCCTTTTTCTAAAAGGGTATGAAATCACCTACCTGACTTTTAATATAATTATTTTTTAAATTGGGTAAAAAATAGTGATGTAAGCAGAAAAAAAAAGTTTTTTTATTTTTTATTTATTTATTAAACCTTAAAAGAATACAGGATTCCATATCAGGTACTATAGTAGTAGTTAGTTTTTTAAATAACAAATAACAAATATAAATTATTTACAAGTAGATATAAAATAATTTAAAAATATCACAGCATTTACACAAAGAAAGATTTATTATCTTATATTATTTCTTATTGATATATAGTGTTTGTTTTTTTTCAAAAATGTTGTTTTTTTCAGAAACATTGTTTTTTCCGTAATAGAGATTATAAGGGAAAAGAGTAAGCTTAAAGCAGAAAAAAAATGGGTAATCGTTATTTATAATAGAGGGTTTTAAATAAAAACACCAAATAAAAACTTGCTTCTAAAATAAACATACATGAGTGTCTATGAAAATTAAAACAAAAACTTAACTAAAATAGTTTTTATCTATAAAAAAAAATAGGCAGAATTTAAATCTTACATGTCAATGAATATTTAAAATTAAAAATCTCTATAATCAGAATCAACGTCAAATTCTTCTGGCCCCTCCGACGTGTCAGTATCGTGTACAGAAAAGTTTTCAGGTTAATTTTTAGCGCATCGATATTGAAGATAATCATTTCTATGATTAAAGCGATCTGTTAATAACAAATGGCGACACTTGTCATACATTGTTTTGTAAATTTTTTATAAAACAAAAAAACGAACGCTTTTTTAATTATTATAAAACTGTTTTTTATAATTTAAAAAACAAAAAAAAACGGTGTGCAAGTTTTTTTTATAATTTGAAAAAAAAAACAATGTTTTGTTTTTTTTCTGAAAAAAAACATGTTTTTTTTAAACGTTTTTTTTCAAATTTGAAAAAAAAACGTTTTTTTTTACATCACTAGTAAAAAATAACAAAACTACAGACTGTCAAAGTTGGTCGTAATTTTAAGAGAACGAAAATTGACAAGCTTGTATATTTTGTGGAAAATCTCTAAAAATAATTACTGGGCATATTAAGTTATTTAATTTTTTTTTAAGTGTAGGAAATTATCTAACATTTGATTTAATTATTTTTTAAATTGGGTAAAAAATAACAGAACTACAGACTATCAAAGTTGGTCTTAATTTTAAGAGAACTCAAATTGACAAAACTTTATATTTTGTGAATTATTTTTAAAAATTAGTACTGAAGCATATTATGATTTTTACTTTTTATTAAAGTGAATGAAATTACCTGACTTTTAATATAATTATTTTTTAAATTGGGTAAAAAATAACAAAACTACAGACTGTCAAAGTTGGTCGTAATTTTAAGAGAACGAAAATTGACAAGCCTGTATATTTTGTGGAAAATCTCTAAAAATAAGCACTGGGCATATTAAGTTATTTACATTTTTTTAAAGTGTAGAAAATTATCTAACATTTTATATAATTATTTTTTAAATTGGGTAAAAAATAACAGTACAGACTGTCAAAGTTGGTCTTAATTTTAAGAGAACGAAAATTGACAAGCCTGTATATTTTGTGGAAAATCTCTAAAAATAAGCACTGGGCATATTAAGTTATTTACATTTTTTCAAAGTGTAGAAAATTATCTAACATTTGATATAATTATTTTTTAAATTGGGTAAAAAATAACAAAACTACAGACTGTCAAAATTGGTCGTAATTTTAAGAGAACGAAAATTGACGAGCCTGTATATTTGTGGAAAATCTCTAAAAATAAGCACTGGGCATATTAAGTTATTGACATTTTTTCAAAGTGTAGAAAATTATCTAACATTTGATATAATTATTTTTTAAATTGGTTAAAAATAACAGAACTACAGACTGTCTTAAACGAAAATTGACAAGCCTTTATATTTTGTGGAAAATGTCTAAAAATAAGCACTGGGCATATTAAGTTATTTACATTTTTTCAAAGTGTAGAAAATTATCTAACATTTTATATAATTATTTTTTAAATTGGGTAAAAAATAACAAAACTACAGACTGTCAAAGTTGGTCTTAATTTTAAGAAAACTCAAATTGTCAAAACTTAATATTTTGTGAATTATCTTTAAAAATTGGTGCTGAAGCATATTATGATTTTTACTTTTTTTAAAAGTGGATGAAATTACCTGACTTTTGATGTAATTATTTTTTAAATTGGGTAAAAAATAACAAAACTACAGACTGTCAAAGTTCAACATGTGATATAATTATTTTTTAAATTGGGTAAAAAATAACTACGACATTTTAGCCGTCAAATTTAATTGCAGAGGGTCAAGGAGCAAATAGAACAGGACAAGCTGGCAAGGAAGGCGAAATTTGCGGGCGGCAGCGCGGACAGCGTCGCCGAGGCGCCAGTGGCGCACGCGCCCGTCGCGGCCAAAACGGCCGCGCCGGTCAACTACGAACAGTGCAAGATTCAAATACGGCTGATAGATGGCAGCACGTTGACGCAGACGTTCGGAGCGAAGGAACCGCTCTCGGCCGTCCGATTGTACGTGGAAATCAACAGGAAGGACGCGATGGAACCGTTCAAGCTGCAGATGTCGTACCCTCGCAAAGTTTTCACCGCCGAGGATTACGACAAACCCTTGGACACTTTAGGTGAGATAATACTTTTACTTAAATTTTTAGCACAGTTTTAAAATAAAATTGTAAATTTGTGAGGTGAAACTTCCTTGCAGACGCACTGTGGGCCCAATGTCCAAACTAGGTTGCATTAATTCAATTTTTTTTCTATTTACTTAAAACTTTAAAAATAATTAAACTTTGAGACTAACCAATGCTGGTAATTAATTATATAATTTATTTTTTCATTTTAACAAATATTAAACGCCATGTATATAATTTGCTCATTGCCCATTGCGATAAACAACTTAAAGATGCATATTAATTGGTAATATTTTCTTTTCTCAGAGGTTTACATTTTTGACTGGGATAAGTTTCGCGATTTTTTGCGATTTTTTTGGTTAACAATTTTTAGTAGTCTACATCTTTGTCTAATGAAAAATATATATTTTGGCTTGGCATTCGTTGGCCTTCCTATTTTTTTACTCTGCAAAACATAAACAATTAAATATTCATGTTAATTACCTTATCAGTTCTTGCCAAAAGCAAAAAAAAAACTCTTCTTTTACATGTTTATAAACGTTTTTGTTACTATACATATATGTAAATATAGTTCTGTTAAGCGTTTTAAAATTCCTGGAAAAAATGAGTCGGCAAAAAAAATTGGAAAATTTTTAGAAAAATTGATTTTTTAAATTTTATTCAAATGGTAATAGGAAAAAATTAAAAATTTACAAATTTTTACGGATATTATACGTACACTGATATCGAGAAAAAATTCAATTTTCGTCGCTGATTATAATCATAATATTATGATTATAAAAATTATACCTTTTATTTTAATTTAGTAAGAATATTCTACCGGGCCGCAAAAAAAACATTCGGTGCTTATTCAAAGATAATATTATAATTTGACACTTAGATTTATAAAATTAAAATTTTGTAATTTAAGGTAGTTGTCGTGGTACAATATTGTCAAAAATTTTTAGATTATACGCACCGTAAAAGTATACGAGCTTGTAGCTAAGTGATTCATAATTTATTCGCAAGACTGTACCCTGGAGAAGTTACCTTTACGTAATACTTTCAAATATTTTCATAAGTTTTAATCCGGCAACGTCGCTTATGCTCAACCAATAGATATATTGGAGACTGAATCAGTGTTTGAATTTACTGCGGAAATAATATCTATACTCGCGTACATCGTTGCCAAGTTGTTTTTATCTGACACTAGTGATGTATACTTTTTACAAATTGTTAAACGGTTATTTATAAACAATTGGACGGTCAAAAATTTTTAATTATTTTTTTTTAAACTCAGCAAAAATACATTAAAAGACTGTTAGTTTTTTGAAAGCTTCTGACAGTTAGTTTTTTTATAACTAAGAAACTGATACAGAACTACAGAAAGCGTATACAATCCATATTAATTATCCAATTTTTAATTGATTTTATCTCGGGTTATAGACGGTCAATCGACTTCAAATTTTAAAGATAATTGTATTGTCATGTCCTTAATATGTATACAAAAATTTAAAATTTTCTGATGCTTACAGCACGACAACTACATTAACTTTATAAATCATTTATTATTTTGTAGTAGTAATCAGAGCTGGAAGTATCCTGGAAAAAAAGGTACTTGAAAGTAACTTAGATACTTAAAGTATCTAAGATACTTTATATTGGACAGAAAGTATCTTTAACTAAGTTACTTTGGAAAAGTATCTTGTAACTTTTATCTAAAAAAGTATCCAAATTACTCGGTAAAATAACTAAGATACATTCAAGTAACTTAGATACTTTAAAGTAACTAAGATACTTTTTAAAGTAACTAAGATACTTTTTAAAGTAACTTAGATACTTTTCAGTGTAACTTGGATATTTTCTTAGAGAAAATTGGGGGAATTCCAGAATGATTCAAAGTAATTACCTAACCTACAACTTGTTAAATTTTCATAATTTTATAGTTTTTATTTATACTTAAAAGTAAAGTATCTTAAAAAAGTAACTTGATACTTTTCAGAAGTAACTTTACCAGCTCTGGTAGTAGTTTAATTCAACGTTTAGGTTTGTTTTTGTAATAGGGGATATTTTTTTAAATTAAAATAATGTTAATAATTAAATGTTAATAATTAAAATAATGATTGCTACTTTTCTTTAAATTGTATATTTAAAAAAAAGACAATTTTTCCAAGGACTGAAAAAAAACATGTTTTCCCCCAATTTTTCCGTTTTTTTTCGACACTTTAAAACCCTAGTTCTGTTAGAAATTTAAAAGAAACGCACAAGGTAGGTACTTATTTTGCACAATCGCAAAATGTTGTTGTCTAAATTAATTTTGTTTTTTGGGTATGAAAACCGCGATTTTTTTTGTGCTCCTAATAATAAGTATTTTTGTAGTGAATTTTGAGGTTTTTTTAACTTTTTTGGATATAAATAATGTTTTATAAAAATACAAACAGTACCTACTATTTTTTTTTATAATATAGGTATTATATTATTTCCAGAAAATAGGAGAAAATTGGCGTTAATTTGACAGATGCATAACCTGTACTGTTTGAAAAAAATTTCAATTATACGCTAAAGAAGTATCGCTAGTAGCGCCACCACTCGGCTGTTATCATCGTAACAGACGTACAACTTTTGATAATCAGCTGTCAAACGCGTGTGTTACAAACGAGTGTTTTTGAGAATAAAGCCGGAAAAAATATCGAAAAAAAAAACCGTGGCACGATTTGTTGTGTTGTTGGGTGTATTTCGAGAGGAAATCCTGGGTTGAGGTTTTCCAATAAACAGTGTTAATCCGAATGAAGAAATAAATTTCATACAGTCCCTGTAAATATAAATTGTATCTATTAGATACAATATATACTAGACTGGTTCAAAAAAATCGAATATTTTTTTTTCTTCAAAGCCCGCATTGAAATATCTTCCTAGTAGTGAAAAAAGAAGCCTGTGAAAATTGTAGCTCTTAATATTAATATTTAGAGGTCGCTCATCGTGAATTTCTATTTTACGTTTAAATAACACAGGAATTCTTTTTTCTTAACTTTGAAGTTTTATAACTCGTTTTTGAGTGAACATATTGGAATGAACTCTATATATTTTTGAAGAAAATTGAACGTTCTACAAAAAATGTCTCTTATAATTTTTTCGTAAATTCACTCCTTTAATAGTTATTCAAGGTTGAAATTAGACATATAATAAATGTAACGTTTAAATAACACAGGAATTTTTTTTTAATTTTACAACTTTTTTTTGAGTGCACATATTGGAATAATTTCAACCTTGAATAACTATTAAAGGAGTGAATTTACGAAAAAATTATAAGAGACATTTTTTGTAGAACGTTCAATTTTCTTCATAAATATATAGAGTTCATTCCAATATGTTCACTCAAAAACGAGTTATAAAATTTCAAAGTTAAGAAAAAAGAATTCCTGTGTTATTTAAACGTAAAATAGAAATTCACGATGAGCGACCTCTAAATATTAATATTAAGAGCTACAATTTTCTCAGGCTTCTTTTTTTACTACTAGGAAGATATTTTAATGCGGGCTTTAAAGAAAAAAAAAATATTCGATTTTTTGAACCAGTCTAATATATACACATTTTAGTAATGATTAACGTGAAACGTGTAAACATTTCAATTCAGTAATAATCGTCAAACAAATAAGTCGTCTATATTTAAACAGCATTTAGCATTATTAAAAGCGTTGATTAAGAATTTTTTTAGACTCCACTTAACGGTAAAATACCATTATATTATGTATTATATGTAATATTAGGTTGCCATGAATTCGTAGGTATATTTTGTTGTTTAACCCTTTAAGTGGCAGAGTCACTATACTGACCACCCTCGTGATTAAATGTGGCGCCAAATATTTGAACACCCAACCGTTCTTCTGCTATCAATAATAACTATAACATCATGCCTAAAGGCCTGCAAATACACTTAGTTAACCAACGTCCGCTACGCATGACGTATTTTGAAAAAGTGGTCACTTAACTAACCATCGATACTTTACAAACATTACTTTTTTCTTTGAATGTGCAAAGTGATATTTGTGAACATATTTAGGTGAGTAAATGCTATTTTATTATTTTGTAAATAACATTAAAAACTTTCAATATGTTTCTTTGTATCTCAGTTGCAAAATTAAGACAAAATATTTAAAGTATTGGGTGTTTTGGGCCTCATAAAGGGCAACTATTTATTTTTTCAGAAAATATAGGTTAGGTATACCAAATTTTTCTGGTACTATTTTTCCTCATTACAAGTTACTTATAATTTTTCTTACACCCCAGAACTATAATTATCAAAATGTAAAATTCTTATTTCACCTAATATCAACGGCTTAGATAATATTTTGATACTACCTGAACTCCAACTGAAATCGTCTCGAGTCTACCGGTCACAGTGGCAGAGTCACTATACTGACCACCCTCGTGATTAAATGTGGCGCCAAATATTTGAACACCCAACCGTACTTCTGCTATGAATAATAACTATAACATCATGCCTAACGTTTTTTAAGTCAATTTCCCTTGAATAAATAATGAGTTTCTGCCAACAATATATTTTTTGATAAAAGTGGTCAATAAAATGATTTTAGAAATTATACTACATCTTGTTTTCTTGAAGTAACCAAGATCACTATACTAACCACCCTATTCTGAGAAAAAGGGAGGGGGTAGATTTTTTTGTATATTTTTTCAAGCATCCTGGGATCCATATAAATTATCTTAAATAAAAAAAAAATGTGTTTCAAAGAAAATTTCTTCTGCCACTTAAAGGGTTAAAATGCAGTTGTCGGCGTTTTTTAGAGAACTCAAATATAAAAATGGTTGATTTTAAGGTTATGTTTGTGCAAAATTTATTTTGTACTAATTTCTTTAAAATGTCCAAACTAATAATATAAATTATATTAGGAAAGGTATCATTAGTTAATTCTGCACCAACGAATGTCCTTACCGAATTGGATCCTTTGGCATAACATGAAAATGCAACAATTTTGCAAAAAATTTATTTACAATTAAAAACACAATAATTCACCGTGATCCCTTAGATAAAATACACACACTAACGTAACTATATAAGCATTTAAGCGTTGAGTTTCTTAATCAATGATATAAAGAATAATCAATCGAAATCGAGTACTAAACCGGTTTTTTAGTTTTTTCCTTGAAACGTTAATACACAAATAATGTTCGCGATTTAGCTGTGCAATTGAACAAAATTTGTCGAGTAAGACTTCTGCCTTCCTCTAAAAACTACGTATTTATTTAAAAATGATGTACAGTTCGTATGCTTTAAGAATTGTCAACAATAGTTGACAATTCTTAAATTCACGCAATGCTTTTGCAGTCCACCAGATGGCGCGCGCGTTGCGAAAGCCCGATACTTCTTTAACGTATTTAATTGCATCTATACGAAAAATAACCTTATCGTGAAAATGACATATTTTATTTAAAAAATACTCAGCTTTCCAAAAATATGTGAAATTTAAAATAAAAATTGCCGGAAAGCCTGAAAAATCGCTTTTATCACTTTAATAATAAATAATGAATATTTTCATTAAAAGCTAAGAATTTTTTACAAAAAAACAGTCCTACTTGTATTTTTATAAAACATTATTTATAGGTATTGTTAAAATTCTAAAAATCGTTAAAATGAAATAATTAAAATGTTAAAATTCTAAAAATCATTACTAGAAAACTACTTAATATTAAGAGCTCAAATCTTATTATGATGTATAGAAAAATATTTGGTGGAATGACCCATATATAATTTAAAATATATTTACTTATAGAGTAGATACGAAAATTTTCCTTAAGGAATATTAATATTCCTTAAGGAATATTAATTTTAAAAATCCTACTTGATATTTATATAATTTATATATTATAATTTTAAAATGTTTGAAATTTACAGTTTTTTAAATTTACAAAATTTCCCAAACGTTTAAAATTTTGAGCTTATAAACATGATGATTATTGATTAAATAAAAACTAAACACGAATTTGATTAAATTGTCCATAATTTAGCTGTATGGTCTAAGCGTATTTTTATTTGTATGTTGCAGGTTTAGCACCCACTGCAACTTTAATTGTAACAAAAACTTAAAAATTGTTGGCTGTAAGAGTGCAGTAATACCCAAAAACAGGTGTGTGATGCTTTATTTAAAATATTGTAAGTGATACTTTTTCTTATATTCTTACCCTGAGAAGGACTAATCTAGACCATAAAGTACTGCTTCTGTTTAAAATAAAATTTTATTACCTATTAAGTGTATTGCTTTTTTGTGAGGTTAACTAATAATAAAAACTATTTTTTAATTTCAATAATCTTTTATTGTAGAAGTAGTTCTCCTTAAATAATAAAAACAATTTTACGATTTTTTTTATTTTAAATTATTAAAGAAAATAATATTTTCCAAAGATCTACAATTCTACAACCTTTCTGAAGTTAAAACAATGAGGTTTAGTAATTAATTAGTAATAATAATTAGTAATAACCCAATAAATTTTTTTGAAAGAAATTGATCATTTATATAATAATAACATTTTACTAAAAAAATAAAAAAAAAACTAGAAAAACACACTAAAATTTAATTTAGTATTACCAACCCTCATTTTCCTTAGGATACAATAATTATAACAAAATTCATACTAAAAAATAACATTTTAAATTCCTTAACATTAGGCCTTAGTAGGTACCTATTATTTAAAGGGGTTCTCTATTTGTGCACAAACGAAAAAGGTTTGTTTTCTCACTACTATTTTCATGACAAACGGGCGGAAAGTGTTTTCCACTGGTTCGCAACGGGCGGAAAAGTGCAAAGACAGTAAACGATTACCTACTCTTGTTGTTTGATTATAATCATAATTACAATAATATTAAAATGATTTACACATAAACTGCAACATTCTACAACACCTAAATTGCCTTTGGGCGATGTTTAAAATAAAATTAGCTATTTAAAAGTTGAGTAGGTATCCTAATTACTGCTAGTTCAGTACAATTAAGTATATTTACATCAAAAAGTGAAGAGGCCACGTCAATTTTTTTAAAGGGCAAAATATACGTTGTTATGATACACGGGGCGAAAATTTTACCAACCCAATCCTCTTCAAATTTTACTAAATTGCAATACTAGTTATTAACTATAATTCCTGTAAAGGATTTTGCTTCATTACCTTTGGTTATCAAATTACAGGGGTGCAAAGTTTAGTTTTCCTTTGACAAAATTAAAATCTTTTTAACATTTTAAAATTAAATATTTAAAAAATTGTTTTTTAGCTCTTTTTTCATTATTTTTAATTAAGCAAATTAAAAAATCTAAAAACTTTGAAATTATTTTTAGATTAATTATTTGCTTTAAACCATATAAATTTAATAATGGGATGGAAATTGTTTTAGGGATTTTCAACTGATTATCTGTCAAAGTACTTGATGTCAGATGACAGAAAACTCAATTTTGCTCTTAAGCTCATCAAACAGTTAAAAACCTCGAAAAATAATCTCTATCCCATTATAAAACATAGGTTTTAATTTTTTTAATTGCAAAATTATTAGATTTTTGTTTTTATTTTTAATTTTTTTATTATTCATTAAAAGAAGAATACCTTTATTGGAAAGAAAAAAGATAATAATAAATAAGTAAAATTTTAAAAAGATTAGGTAAGTAAACAATTTTTTCGGTGGTGGAAATTTTGCCTTTAATAACATTTTAGATCGGGAAAAGGATTGGCCAATATTCGACTCTTAATTACAAGTTAATTGTTAAAAAAAAAGGATTCACTTAAATGTTTCGTATCGCGGCTTTACATTTTTGTTTACACCATTGAAAGGCAGTTTCAGCGTTGTCAATTCATAATTTACTAAAGTTTATCGACAAATTTCAAAATTTTAGTTAAGAGAATAATAAAAATTTAAAATGGTATGAAATCTGTAATTCTAAGACTTTTTAAATATATTTTAAAATTTACCGATAAAATTTAGTTAGTTATGAATTGCACCACTTTAATTTGAATACTCTTAATTAGCGCTGAAAAACTAAATTTTTTTAGCAAACTTCAATAAAAATTCTGCGTGCGCAGAACTTGTCTATTTAATGTCATTATAAAGTGAAATAAGTTTGGTGTGGATTCCATGTCTATAGTTATAACTGAGTTAATTGGCGATTGTTCCTTTATCTACCAATCAGGTTTTATAAACCTCAGTTATCTTGAAAAGAATTTTTTAATGAAAAAGTTAAAAAACAAAAAAACATGATTTTTACTTTTATCGACGATATTTTTTTATGATGCTGTCAATTGGCGACGTTAAAATGACTGGCAACAATGTCACCTTAGAAAGAGTGACAGCAGGGTTTTTTGACAGTTTCAAGCAAAGTTTTTTGACAGTTGTAAGCAAAGTTTGTTGAACATACATGTATTTTGGTGAAAGGTTAGTTTTTTTGCAACTAAAATCCTTAAAATAGTGCATTATATTTATTTATGTCGAAAATTTACTAAGACCTAGACATTTGGATATAATTAATTGAGGTTATCTATCGAATTTCATCATATTTTCATAAAATAAAATATGTATTTTTTGTGTAATAATTTACAGTCAACTGACAGATGGATCACCCCACAATCCATTGTGGATCACCCCAATTATTTTTATTCAAATGTCAAAGTGGGATTTTTGAGTGGATCATATTACCTTTGTTTACGCCGCGATACAGAACAATTTATTTATTTTAATATTTTGCCAGCAAAACACAAAATAACTTACCAATCCTTTCCTCTTAAACAAACAGAATTACATTTTATTTACTTATATGGAGAGCCATATCAAGAGTTTAACAAACTTGTACAGATCCAGCAAGTCCTCTCTGAACTTGTAATGTCTCTGTAGTTGATGTATTTTTAATTTTTTGTCATACTCCTCGTAAAATGTAAAATCATTGTAAAAGTCTGCATAATATGAGGGCAGCTCAGAATAATACATAACAGGTTTATCGAGTTTACAATTAGTCAACATATCCCCAGAATCATTAAAATGTATGGGATGTTGAGGCATGCAATCAACCAATTCCAAGGATTTATTAAAGCAAATTCTAATTTCGTTGAGTAAGACTTCTTTGGTTCTCCTATCCACCTCGCATTCTATAACAGGCCTTTTATTCAAAGTCGACATTATAGCCTTGTTAATATCATGGACATTGTAGCCAGTTTCCTTGGGTACGATACCACCCTGAGATAGAATGCTGGGGATGTCGTAGTTTAAATTCAACTCCAACCCTTGGCTAAAGTAGTTCACAATACTGTTCAATTGCGGTATCTGGGACGCGCAAGTGCCGTGCTTGTCCCACTCGTGCTTCCAAAACGAATTCGCGTTGGTATTGGCTTCGATGTTAACCCATCTGGCCTTCAACTCGTCCATGATTGGTTCCAACTGCGTAGGGTCAAAGTGTATGGCCGATGGGCAGTTGAAAGGGCCTTCCTTGCCGATTTTGTTGGGCCACAGCCCGTGCACTGTCCATATGGAATTGTTGCTCGGCAGGTTGCATGTGTTGGCTTTATTTTTCTCCTCCCATTCCGCACATCCTGTGATGGGCCATCTTTGCGAGTAGACTAAATAATCCCAGTCAAAGTCGTTGCTCTCCAGTTCATTGTCATTGTTGAATTCTTGGCAAAAACTAAAACCAACAAAATAACATGATAAGCCAGGGCACTGACCTCCAGTAAAACTTATTTACCTTGTTTGTAGCAGAACCAGAATTACAATACAAAAATATTGCGATCTTTCCATTTTATTGTAATTTTTCATCAAAAATTTTTTTGACATCAGCTGTTTTACATTTTGTTGTTAACCTATTTTGGTATTAGAATACCGCTGAAACGACAATAAAGTGCGATAACTGTTATTCTAGGAATTTGTATTCTGTAATGCATTACAGAATACAAATTCCTAGAATTCAAGTTAGTTTTAAAGTTACGTACTCATAATCCCACTATTAGATCATAGATGTCGTTATATTGAAAAAAAATCTATCTCTTCTTCTATGCTATCACTAGCAAAACCTGTAATAACATGTTTACAATGGCGTCCAAAGATGCAAGAAAAAATAATCCCCCTTACAGAATACAAATCATAGAGTATAGTATTAAAATCCTTAAAATTACGAATTATTGTTACTATTAGATCATAGATGTCGTTATATTGAAAAAAAATGATTCCTATCTCTTCCTCTATGCAGTCATCTATGAATTTACTATCAAAACAATAACATATGGAGTGAGAAAATCCTGTAATAACATGTTTGTGGTCTACAATAGAGTTCAAAGGTGCTAGCAAAAAGAATCTCTGCCTCTTCCATTTCTTAAAAAAATGTTAAACAGCTGATACCAGTGTTTAATATGAAAATTTTATCAGTATTATTGTTAATTAGCTGGTAAGTGATATTTTTATTATCTTTAATTGCATTTTAAACCTTGGTCAATCTGTAAATTGTACTATATCTATATGCTTTTTTGTTTTTTGTTATTATAAAGTTAATTGACAATACAAAGCCATTTAGACAATATTTATTTGGAAGTTCTATGGTTCAATATATTTACCAGCGTTTACAAATTCTCCTTGCCGTCGCCTAAATAGGTATTTCAGTATTTTTGGAAAAAACGACAGTTTTAAACAAATATATTTTTATTAGTATAGGTACCTACCTAAGTATAAAGTTTTATAAATACAAGGTAAACAAACATGCTAATTTATGATACCTATCAAACCTGTGAATAAAACATGTACAGGTCTATTTTATATCATAGGTAAAATAATACAATATACAGGGTGTTCCGAAATTAGTGCACCATACTTTAACAGCAGATTCTACGTGCAAAAATAAGAAAAAAAGTCCCTATAAATATGTAGCTCCCTTAAGAGGCATTTCTTGACCTATGTTTATAGGGACTTTTTTTCTTATTTTAGCATGTAGAATCTGCTGTTAAAGTATGGTGCACTAATTTCAGGACACCCTGTATGGGCGATTCCATGATAAATAACGGGACAAACAAAAACAAGACAAAATGTTTTATGAAAATTTTAAAGATGTGTTGTTCATATATATATACCTATACCTATAGGTAATAATAATTTTATAATAGTTATTATTACTTACTTAATTTTATTGCTGAGGACTGGCATAAAATTATTATTATACACTAAAGAAGTATCGCTAGTAGCGCCACCACTCGGCTGTTATCATCGTAACAAAAGTAGAACTTTTAATAATTAGCTGTCAAACGCTTATGTTACAAACGAGTGTTTTTGAGAATAAAGCCGGAAAATGTTGAAAAATATCGGAAAAAAACCGTGGCACTATTTGTTGTGTTGTTGGGTGTATTTCGAAATCCTGGGTTGAGTTTTTACCGGTTTTCCAATAAACAGTGTTAATCTGAATGAAGAAATAAATTGCATACAGTCTCTGTAAATATAAATTGTACCTATTAGATACAATAAATACACACTTTAGTAAAAATCGTCGAATAAATAAGTCGTCTAAATTTAAACAGCATTTAGCATTATTAAAAGCGTTGATTAAGAATTCTTTAAAGTCTCCACTCAACTGTAAAATACCATTATATTATTTATTATATATAATTTTATGTTGCCATGAATTCGTATGTATATTTTGTTGTTTAAAATGCAGTTGTCTGCGTTTTTTAGAGAACTCAAATATAAAAATCGTTGATTTTAAGGTTATGTTTGTGCAAAAATTATTTTTTACCAATTTCTTAAAAATGTCCAAACCTAAATATAAATTATATTAGGTAAAGTTATCATTAGTTAATTCTGCACCAACAAATGCACTTACCGAATTAGATCCTTTGGCAAAACATGAAAATGCAATGATTTAGTTCTTAAATTTTATTTACAATTAAAAACAGGAGTAATCAATCGAAATCGAGTACAAAAAACAAAAAAACCGGTAAAAACTCAACCCAGGATTTCCTCTAGAAATACACCCAACAACACAACAAATCGATCTACGGTTTTTTACGAAATTTTTAACATTTTCCGGCTTTATTCTCAAAAACACTCGTTTGTAACCTAAGCGTTTGACAGCTGATTATTAAAAGTTCTATTTTTGTTACGATGATAAAAGCCGAGTGGTGGCGCTACTAGCGATACTTCTTTAGCGTATTAAACAAAATTTGACTTCTGCCTTCCCCTCTTTTGTGAAAAAAACTACCTATTTATTTAAAAATGATGTATAATCTGTGCTTTAAATGTATTGTTGACAATTCTTAAATTTACGCAATGCTATCGAAGTCCACCAGATGTCGCGCGAGTTAAATATTTTGGATGAAAACACAAGTTTTTATGTACACCAAATATTTATTGAAGAAGAAGTTAACAAGTTAATGATTTGACGATTCAATCAACACTGATCAAAAATAAATTTTATAAAAAGGAAAAAAGCACAAAATGATTATTTTGCAGAATTGCGAAAAGTAAATTACACGGGTTTTTATGTCTTAACGGATGTAGCTTGATTTTGTTTAATATTATATGATATTTCCTTAGGTCGCTGTACCGGCTGCAGGGTCGGCGTCCGTAACACCTCCCTCCTTAAGAAAGAGCTCTAGGGTTTCTCTTGTAACTCTGGGGCGATTTAGAAAGTGGTGGATCCTCTTCTTTTTCTTAACCATAATGTAGATGAAGGCCAAAATAAAAAGAAGACATGATGTCGATATGCTCCAACTGATGTAGGTGGCAACTGGGTGCAAATGAAGGGGTTGGATTGGTGTTATGTCGAATCCGGTCGGGATGTCCATTTTCTGTAAAATAAGTTTGTTTCTTGCCGAAGGCAAATTGTGTGTGTAAAATTCAGGTGTGACGTCTTCTTCTTTATCGGTACATTGGATCGTGTAGCAATCGACTGTTATGGATTGGTTACACCGGAATGTCTTCGTTGGGGAGTACACTATTTTTCCATCTGGTAAATCGTATTCAATCTCGGATTCGGCTTTAGCTGTTGGGCATCGGTGAGGATTCGTTATGGAACAGTTGCTGGTGATTTTCTTATTGCAGAAAAAATGTCTTATTGAAATCTGCTGACAGATCTCGAACCAATCGTTGTGGGAGTTCCATGAAGTTGGTGGTAGGATAAGGGTTTTGTCTTCATTAGGTATTGGGAAAACTTTGATTAGCGGGTAGGATTTGACTTTAAGGATTGGAATTTTCAAAATTAATATAATTTTATAGTTAGTGTGAATTAGAATAGTTTGACAGTGTTCAAGCAGATTAGTTGAAATAATTTGATTGGTATCGTAAAATTTTTCTAATTCTATTTCTAATCTTGTAATTTCATCGGCAGAAAATAGTTCTAAATTTGTTAAATTTAATTTTGAAAATGTTATTGTACGTAAAAGCATTAATAAAAAATCATTTACGTGTTCGATATTAGCGATATTAATTTGTGCTTCATGAATTCCTAAATCATTTTGTATATTGCGTAAATATTTTTCCAGTTGTTTATTGTTACTATTAAAATTGTCAATTATTAAATGAAATCTTTCTTGAATATGTTGTGCATTTGAAATAAGTTTATTAATTTTTATCGATTGTTCGTCTGTTTTATCCGAAATTGATTTTATATTGTCATTGATTATTTCTAGGTCGTCATTGTCTGGATTGCCCGTAATAAATTTAATAGCAGACCCCAAAAAATTAGCAAGTCCTCTTTTTTGTCGAAAAAATGTTAATTTATGAAAATTATTAATTGCTTCTTTAAGTTTTATATTGTAAATTCTGCTTAAAGGTGTTTCATTATTCATGAAGGGCATTGAATTTAGACTTTTTTGAATGTTATGAAGGTTAATGGAAACAGTGAATCTATGGAAATGTGAAAATTCTTGTTGGGTTCCGGAATCATAAGGATAAAACCCATTATTAGGCACACACGAGTAAGCAAGGATGTAGCTGTAACAAGAAATTTTGTTTATTTGCGGGGACGTTTAATTTTTCTAACATTATTTTTTGTCTCTATTTTGATTTTAGGGTGTACTGTATAAATGATATCTTTATTTTCGTTGTCTTGATTTTTTAATAGTTCTTTTCTGTAAGGTTTTTCGTGTTTAGATCTTCTAGCTGTACAAACATATACGGGAGTGTCAGAATTAATTGTGGGCTGATCTGTTCTGGTTTCGTTAATTTTGGCAAGGTTATTATCGGCTTTTGTTTTTTGCTTTGTGTAAACATGTTTTATAAATGGCAGAATTTCGTTTTTTCTGTCTTGATTATATTTTTCATAAATTGTCAGATTATTGTCAAACAGTATCTCATGTTCGTATGGTCCGTATATTAGGGAAAATGGAGAAAAACCTGTAGCTGAATGTATGCATTGGTTGTAAATAGTAATGGCAGATATCATACGTTCTATAATATTTGTTTCAGAGGGTTCTAAAACACGTAATTTTTCGATTATGGTGGAATGTAGGCGTTCGATAGGGGAGTTGGATGAGGAGTTAGATCTGGATGTATAGTGAATGTTAATTTGATGTAGATTAAAAAATTCGTTAACTACTTTATTTTTAAACTCGGGACCTTGATCGAAAACAACATTTTTGGGAAAATTGTGGTGTGCGAAATAGTGTCTTAATTTGGAGAGGATATGGATTGAAGTTGTATTTTCTACGTGATAAGCTTGGGCGTATTTTGTAAAGGGGTCAATGATTGTCAAAAATTTATGTCTCAAATAGCTAAATATGTCAATATGAAGTGTTTTAAAAGGGAGAGAAGGAAGTAAAGGACCTTTAAATGGTGTTTTTATAGGATTTCTTTCGTATTTGGATGTTAAACAGATTTCACATTTATTTATTATTGAAGTTATTAAATTTTTCATATTTGGCCAGTAATATTTTCTACGCAAATGTTCGTACGTTTCGTTGATTCCGTTATGATTAGCATTGTGATAGTCATTAACAATTTCCAAATGATTTTCAATTTCTGGAACATCTTGAACTTTAGACTGACAAAGAATAATTTTTAGTGTTGTATTAAATAAAGATGAAAGAATGTTTTCAAGAATAGGACGTAGTTCTCTGTCATAAAGATAAATATAGTACGTCTTTTGAGGGTCTATGATATGTTTTAATGTTGATGAAAAATGTTTTTCTAAATTATTTGAAACAAGAGTAATTAAATGAATATTTTTATTAAATCGATTAGTGACTGAATGAGACTGTAATGTTCCTATACGTACAAAAATTTGGTTTTGAAATTTGTTTATACATTCCTCCGAAATGGGTAAAGTACAGGAAATATTTTCTTTTTGAGAGTGGACGGTAGATTTTCCGGAAATTACAGATTTAGGTGCTTGGGGATCATAATCGGCAGGGGCATGGACAGTGACAATTTCATCAAGATCTACGTTAACCATTAGTGATTCATTATCTGAGTCAGAATTGTGAACGTTAATCTCAACACGAGAGAGTGCGTCAGCGACAATATTTTCCTTACCTTTTTTATAGGAAATGTTGTAGTCAAATTCGTCTAATTTTATTTTCCATCGAATTAAACGGGAATTGGGTGTCTTTAAACTACTGAGCCAAACGAGGGGGTTATGATCGGTTTCGATATTAAATTTTTGTCCAAAAAGGTAGGGCCGAAAAAATTTTGTCGAGGCAACTATAGCTAGTAGTTCCTTTTCAATCGTGGAATAGTTTCGTTCTGCAGAATTTAGTGTTCGGGAATAAAAAGCAACTGGTTTTAACTCTTGGGATAAAACTGAACCTATGGCAATATCGGATGCGTCGGTTGTCAAGGTGAATGTTTTGTTAAAATCGGGATATTGTAGGATTGGAGAATGGGTTATTAGGTTTTTGCACTGTTCAAAAGCAGAAATATAACGTGGATCATGAATATTGATTTTTTCTCCTTTTCTTGTACATTTATTAATTGGATAGACAATTTTTGCAAAATTTGGAATAAAACGTCTGTAGTAGCCTATTAAACCAAGAAAAGATTTAATTTCTTTAATAGATTTAGGTATGGGAAAATTTACAATAGCAGCTATTTTCTTTGGATTTGGCTGAAGGCCTTTATCAGTTACAATGTGTCCTAAAAATTCAACTTTTTTTGAAAGAAACTCGCTTTTGTCGAGTTGTACCTTTAAATTTGCGGATTTTAAACAAGAGAAAATTAATTTAAGGTCATTAATATGTTCTTGAAGAGATCGAGAGAAGACGATGACATCGTCCATATATACAAAGCATCGTTTGTAAATATGAGATTTTAGAATTTCGTCCATCATTCTCTGAAACGTTGCCGGGGCATTTTTGAGTCCGAACGGCATTCGGAGATACTCGAAATGACCATTTGGCACGGAGAAAGCAGTTTTGCTAATCGATTCTTCAGACATCGGAATTTGGTGGAAACCTTGTGCAAGGTCTAGGCAAGAAAAGTATGTGCATCGACCTAGGTTGTCAAGAATTTCATCTATTCGGGGTAAGGGATATTTGTCTTCTGTAGTTTTTGAATTTAAAGTTCGATAGTCTATTACCAGTCTATATTTCTTTGTGCCTGAAGCATCTAATTTTTTGGGTACAATCCAAACTGGACTGGAATATGGTGATATGGAAGGTCGAATTATTTCATTATCGAGTAGTTTTTGAATTTGAGAAGAAATTTCTTTTTGTATTACCGGGGGGTGTCTGAAAGTTTTTGAGTAAACCGGTATGTCATCGGTAGTGGGGATTTTATGCTTAATTGTCGTAGTTGCCGAAAGCAATTGGTTTTCATTATAAAAGATTCCCGAAAAATCTTTACATAGTTTTATAATTTTTTCTTTTTCTTCGGAATTAAGGTGATCGAGTCTTAAATTATTTACATTTAATGGAGTTTTTTCTTGGGGAATATTACCGATATCAAAATTATGTAAGGGTTGAACAGGGATAATGTTATGAAAATTCACATCAATATAAGGGACAGATACATAGCCGTTAAAAGCGGTATGAATTGATTGGGGAATAACAATTGTGTGATTATTATTAAGTATCGAGGGAAGTAAAACATCACCGTCAGAAATGGACACCGGGATTTTTGTTATTTTGGGATTGAAGTATTTAAATTTGATTAAAATTGGACCGATAGTTAATGTGTTTGTTTGATAGTCTATATTACTTTTAAACTGTCCTAAGTCGTGGGATGATAGAAGGACATCATATTGAGTATGCCAATTTATTACATGAAAATTCATAGGAAAATTTATGCCAAAATGTTGTAAAATGGGATAACGTAAATTTATATTATCGGAGTATGTTTTCGTTAGAGATCGAATAGTAAAAGGTTCTTCAAAAAAATATTGTTTGGAGAATTTTGCGGCAGCTTGAGGGGTTATTATTGAATCCGTAGCTCCAGTATCAATTAAAACTCGTAATTTTAAGTCGGGGATGTCGAAATATGGTAGTCGGGGTGAATTTGCTATTAATTATAAATTATTATTATTAATTAATTAATAAATTTGTCTATTTATTAACTGTGCTTAAATTTAAATTTAATAATAAAATATAAGCAATAAAGTTTTTAATTTAATATTAAAATGTATGCAATACCTAAATATAAATTATTAACCAACGTGCTTGAATATAAATTAATTTTTTATTTTTCTTATTTTTATTAAGTGAGTGTGATTGATTGATTTTGAACAAGGGGAAACCAAGAGGTACTTACGGAAGGAAAATGAGGGAATACCACATAACGTTGAAACAGCAGACTTGGCAGCAAATTCCGGGAAGAATGTTCAAAAATTGACTTCGATGAAGAATTTGGTCTGATCAGGTCTTTCTGTCGATAAGCTTCTTGATTTTTCTTGCGTCTTTAACGTTCTTCGTTCTTGGTCCGGATTTCCAAATAAATCGTAAAACGAACCGTTGATATACGTTTTGGCAATCCTGTTCACAGCGCCAGTTAAATATTTTGGATGAAAACACAAGTTTTTATGTACACCAAATATTTATTGAAGAAGAAGTTAACAAGTTAATGATTTGACGATTCAATCAACACTGATCAAAAATAAATTTTATAAAAAGGAAAAAAGCACAAAATGATTATTTTGCAGAATTGCGAAAAGTAAATTACACGGGTTTTTATGTCTTAACGGATGTAGCTTGATTTTGTTTAATATTATATGATATTTCCTTAGGTCGCTGTACCGGCTGCAGGGTCGGCGTCCGTAACACGCGCGTTGCGAAAACCCGATACTTCTTTAGCGTATAGGAACAACACATCTTCAAAAAATTTCATAAAACGGCCATTTCAAGCGGATGGACGGGACAAATCACAAAACTGTTTTTATAAAAAAAATTGTAGGTAATTTATTATATTATTTTTGCATCAAAATTGTCAAATATATTCTTCTATTATTAGGCTATACATTAAATAAAAAAAATGGCAAGAAATATTTTATAAAAGTAGAGATAATTTCAATAATTGACAGGGGTGGACGGGACAAGATAAATCTTTTTTTGTCCCGTCCACACCTTTCAATTTTTAAAATTATATCTACTTTCATAAATGATTTCTTGCGTTTTTTTTTATTTAATGTATAACCTAATAAAAGAAGAATATTTTTGACAATTTTGATGCGAAAATATTATATAATAAATAATCTACAATTTTTTTTATAAAAACAGTTTTGAAATTCGTGCGTTTCGCGCGCTTGAAATGGCCGAAAACATTTTGTTTTTTTGCATGTCCCGTTAGTTATCATGGAATCGCCCTTATGTATTTTTAGTGTATACCTAAAGGTCGTTATTTACAATACAATATTATTGTATTCAAGACCAAGTTTACGTTAAACTGACTGATAAGCTCAATTATTTGTATTGTATTTGTATTCAAATGTCAAGGTACCAATTTGACAGTTTATTCGACCTATATAAACAGAACATACCCAAAGCACAAGAATTGTAAACAACATAAACATGGCCTCCGTTAGATTCTGTGCACTGTTGCAGTGATTTTTAGTATGCGCGAAACGAGATAGAACAGACCTTGTTGCGTGGATTGTGGAGTACACTTGAAACTTAAGTACGGTGGCTAGGTAAAAGGCCAGTTAATAAAAATATCTTTGAACCATCTAAAAAGGTCCTTAAAACTATCTATAATTACACATACCTAAATATAAAAACAAAAAATATTAGTTGGTTCTTTTTTTAGCACGTACCAATTAACAGCAGCATGGGACTACATAGCTTTTGTGCAGCTATGGCCCCAGACAGCGTGCAAAAACTTGAAAAGCAAAAACCCCAACAGAAACTGTAACCTCCCGGTAAGGGGCAAATGGACGATACACGGTGTGTGGCCGTCGAATCGCAACTACCAAAGCGAGCAGTGTTCGGGGACGGAAAAGTTCGAAACCTCGAAGATCCAGTCCATAAAAAACGATTTGAGTAATTTTTGGCCATCGGTGTATAATGATAACGCGAGGTTTTGGCGGCACGAGTGGGATAAGCATGGAAGATGTAGCGACCATATCCCTGGAATGGACTCCGTGTTTGGGTACTTTAAGAAGAGCTTGGAATTGAATAGACAGTATGATATAGAGAAAATTCTAACGCGTAGCAATATCAAACCGAACAACCAACAACCTGTGCCTGTGAATAAAATATCCGATGCCGTCAGATCAGCGACTGGCGGCATTCCGAATGTTAGGTGCCTTAATAACGAATATTTATACGAAATTCACATTTGTTTGGACCAAAATTTACAAGTGCAACACTGTACCAGGAGACCAAACTGCAAAAATGAAGTGTTTTATTTGGACAATTGGGGAGACACCAGAAAAGGAGACGAAGTTGAAGATGTTAAACCTAATGTTATTCACGCCTCAGGGTCCACTATTGTAGGTCTCAGTTTTATTATAGGAATATGTGTTGTTTTTTTATTAAAAAGTATGTAAAATAAAACATTTTTTTAATCCAAAAATGTAATGTGAGTGTCCAAATACGAAATATCATCGTTACAATTGGTATTATTGTCTGAACAATCGATTAATTTGAAGGTTTTACTAAAGCAAAGCCTTATTTCCCCTAAATAAGAAGTGCCTCCTTTATTTTGGCAGACTATCTTGGGAGTTCTTCTCGTTTCCTTAGTAATGGCCTCGTAAACATCTCGATAACGGTACAACTGTTCGTTGGAGGGATTTATGTCGTACCCCCTTAACATATTTCTCAAAAAATATTGTTGTTGCAGTTCCAGGCCTTTGCTGAAATATTTCACGAGCGAATCCATGTTTGGTTCTTCCAACGCGCAAGTCCCGTGTCTCGCCCACTCGTGCTCCCAAAAGCTGTACTGGTTTTTATGCGCCTGCACATCCGTCCACTGGTTCTGCATTTTGGTTAGAATCGGTTTCAACTCTGACGCGGAGAAGGGTTGCTCTTGGTTGCAGCTGCTCGGGTGGTTGTTATTCCAATTCGAAGGCCAAATTCCGTGGACTGTCCACACTTGAAGGCTCGGGTAGTTGCAGTCGTTCGTGAATCGTCGGGATTTCCAAAAGGAGCAGGTCGTAGCGGGCCATTGCTGGGCGAACACGTACAAGTCGAATGCTTGAACGCTTGCTTCAAACAAACTAAGAAATAGGTACACTCAGAATTTTTTTTAATAAATATAACAAAAAAAGTAGTTTGTCTTAATAAAGTAAAGATCCCTATTCGTCCAATAATTGCTTTTGTTACGGCAAAAAGATCATTTTTATAAAAATTATTGTTCTACAAACGCTGCTTTCAGTAATAGCATTTGTATTAATTATAAAGTAAGTTTACGTTATGTTTATAAAAATAACACTCTTCCAGATGCAGAAACGCATTGATAAATATAGGTATTATTATTTGTCCAAAAAAAAACAGTTCTATACCGTTTACAAAAACGTTTTGTAGTATTAATAAAACCCTAATGTTATTATTCATAAAAATATTGTAAATTTTACAAATCCCTTTTCGTTTAAAATAAAACTTTTTTTATTATATTAATAAAATTTATGTAAATTTAAGAACAAATTAATTGTTAATTCAATAAACTATTTTCATTGTAACAATGGTCAAATTTTCAACCTACTGTTGGGTGTTGGTTATACCTATACTATAGTTTTTTTTTAAATAATTGCAAGGCATTAAAATTAATTATTTATTATAACAAAAAAATTAACTCATATTATATGATGTACAAAATAAAAAAAATACGAACTCACTTTTTAAACAACAAGGCTTGTTGAACAAGCCTGCTTCGTTTATAGAATAGACCTTAAATATTTCTGTTAAAAAAAGTCGAAATTTTAATTTTCTTAGTGATCTTTTTGATATTTTTATCATTCTAGATTTTACCACACTTCACTCGCACAAGTAAAATCAATAACACAGACTGGATTATAAGTTAGGTTCACCAAGGAGAGCGCTGGCCCTTTCCCCCTCTTTTTAAGGGAAATAACAAAAATTTTGTTACCATTGCAAAACAATAGTAAATATTAAAAAAGCATAGCAATAAAATATTTTTGTTATTTTTCTTAACATAAGCTATTAGCAAAGATTTTCTAACTGAAATAAAATTAATTTGAATTACAACGATAGTAATTTAAAAAAGACAAATATGCCATAGTAAAATGAACAAATTTTACTATAGCAACTGCGCATTACTTTATGTGAGCGCAATTCACACACAACTATAGATTTAACAAAATCATTTTAAGTTCGACAAAGATTTAATATAAACATAAAGCATTTCTTATTGCCATGACAATATGATAACAACTATTACTTTGTTGGGTGAACATTTTTTTTTATAGAAGCTCGACATTGCTGCTTCATATAGTAAATAAGAATTTTATTAACAGTAAAAAAAGTTTATTCTGTAAATAAAAATGATCTTATTACTTTGACAAATCGTAGGTTTTTGTCCCAATATTATTAAAGACACTGAAAATTTAATAAAAAAGGTACCTTAGGTGGTACATTTTTTTATAGCCATTACAATTTTAAATTTAAGTTAAATAATATTATTTTATTAATCGCTTACAAAATTATTTTTATTATCAGTGCATGTACATCGTCGCCACAAATTCTGCCGTCCGAAGTAATGCTTAAAGACATAAGCGTGAGTAAAGTTGCCGTTGCATCGATGTAAAAGACGCATACAACATTATACTCGCATGTCGATGATATCGTCAGGACGCAAGAATTCGTGGCGACAACTATATCTACACTGCCCTGCTAAGTAAAACCCCCGTATCTACAATTTTAAGTAATAAAGGACAAAGGACATTTTTATTGTTTTGAACAATTAACATCATCTTTTGACAAAATAATTTTGTCCCTTATACGCTAAAGAAGTATCGGGTTTTCGCAACGCGCGCGCCATCTGGTGGAGTTCAAAAGCATTGCGTGAATTTAAGAATTGTCAACAATACATTTAAAGCAAACGAACTTTACATCATTTTTAAATAAATAGGTAGTTTTTTCACAAAAGAGAGGAAGGCAGAAGTCTTACTCGACAAATTTTGTTAAATTGCACAGCTAAATCGCGCACGTTATTTGTGTTTTACGTTGCAAAGAAAAAACTAAAAAACTGGTTTAGTACTCGATTTCGATTGATTATTCTTTATATCATTGATTAAGAAACCCAAAGCTTAAATGCTTATATAGTTACGTTAGTGTGTGTATTTTATCTAAGGGATCGTGGTGAATTATTTTGTTTTTATTTATTGTAAATAAAATTCAAGAACTAAATCGTTGCATTTTCATGTTTTCCCAAAGGATCCAATTCGGTAAGTAGGTACATTGTTGGTGCAGAATTAACAAATGATAACTTTACTGAATATAATTTATATTTAAGTTTGGAGATTTTTAAGAAATCAGTAAAAAATAGTTTTTGCACAAACATAACCTTAAAATCAACCATTTTTATATTTGAGTTCTCTAAAAAACCGACAACTGCATTTTAAACAACAAAATGTACCTACGAATTCATGGCAACATAATATTATATATATATATATATATATATATATATATATATATATATATATATATATATATAATACACAATATAATTAATCAACGGTTTTAATAATGCTAAATGCTGTTTAAATTTAGACGACTTATTTGTTTGACGATTTTTACTGAATTGAAATGTTTACACTTTTCACGTTAATCATTACTAAAATGTGTTGTATTAAATTAGATAATCTAACAGATACAATTTATATTTACAGGGACTGTATGAAATTTAATTCTTCATTCGGATTAAACACTGTTTATTGGAAAACCGATAAAAACTCAACCCAGGATTTCCTCTTGAAATACACCCAACAACACAACAAATCGTGCCACGTTTTTTTTTTCGATATTTTTTTAACATTTTCCGGCACACGCGTTTGACAGCTGATTATCAAGAGTTGTACTTTTGTTACGATGATAACAGCCGAGTGGTGGCGCTACTAGCGATACTTCTTTAGCGTATTACTTACTATTGCAGATACGGGGTTTTACTGCAGGGCAGTATTTTAATGATTAAATTTTTTTATTTAATTATAAAATTCTAATGTTTCAAAAATATAATAATAATAATAATAATAATATAATTGATGTATACATATATAGCTATATACAGGGTGTTTCTTTTAACTTGAGACAGCTCAATATCTCGAGAAATATGCATTTCACGGAAAAATGTCTTAAATAAAAGGTTAATGTGACCAAAGGGGACATTATTTGGTGCTACCGCTAGCCACCCCCTACCCCTCCTTAAGTGTGAAACGGGGGGTAACTTTGGAAAGTCAAAAGGGATGACTCGATTTTTTTCACAGATTTTGGTAGTACATAAAAAAATGAATAACTTTTATTTGAAAGTTTTTTTCAATTTATCAACAGATGGCGCTGTAATTCAAAATTTAAGAAAAAGGGATTTCCTTGTAAAATGTATTATTTGAATCGTTTGAAAAACAAAAATTAACATTAAATCAACAATAGTCGGCTCTGAAAACAATTTATAACAAATGTTCGAAATGTCGTCCTTCCATTTCGACACCAAGTGGAGCACCAGCGTCCCTGGTCGGTAAACGTTTGGTGCGGTACCTTAAGCGAACGATTAATCGGACCCTTCTTTATTGACGGTGCATTAAATGGCGAAAAGTACCGGAATTTTCTAGAAAACGATCTGACGGACCTTTTGGAGGATGTACCACTAGCACGGCTCCAAAACATGTGGTACCAGCAAGATGGTTGTCCTGCACATTATTCGGCAATTGCTCGAGAGGTGTTGGATCGGGAGTTCAATGGCCGGTGCACCGCGGTGGATCGGTAGACGTGGTCCAGTAATTTGGCCTGCTCGATCACCTGATCTTACGCCACCAGACTTCTTCCAGTGGGGTTACTTGAAAGAAAAAGTTTACGTTGCAATTCCTACAACTTTGGAGGACATGGTGGAGCGGATCAGGAACGCCTGTGCGGCGATACCGCCCGACATGTTGGCGCGTTGTGTGCCAGAATTCATTACCCGCATTCAAAAATGTGTTGAAATGGAATGACGACATTTCGAACATTTGTTATAAATTGTTTTCATAGCCGACTATTGCTGTTAATGTTATTTTTTGTTTTTCAAACGTTTCAAATAATACATTTTACAAGGAAACTCATTTTTCTTAAATTTTGAATTACAGCGCCATCTGTTGATAAATTGAAAAAAGTTTTAAATAAAAGTTATTTATTTTTTTATGTACTACCAAACTCTGTGAAAAAAATCGGGTCATTCCATTTGACTTTCCAAAGTAACCCCCGTTTCACCCTTAAGGAGGGGTAGGGCGTGGCTAGCGGTAGCACCAAATAATGTCCCCTTTAGTCACATTAACCTTTTATTTAATACATTTTTCCGTGAAATGCGTATTTCTCGAGATATTGAGCTGTCTCAAGTTAAAAGAAACACCCTGTATATAGCTATAGCTATTTTAACAGCTAAATGAATGAATGATTACTGGTACTATTATAAATAAGTACCTATTTAAATATTAAAACGATTTTCTTTTTTGTTAAAAAAAATATTCTAAATGGTCACCCTCT